TTTTAGGTTGTGACCCCCTTTAAAATAAAAAAATCTCTGAAACTATCACAATAAAATTGTGTCTCCTCTTGGATGTTAGATTGCATCCTCCCTGGGTGTCTCCTTTCTGAGTCTGAATTGATTAATGCTCTAAGGGCTTATGATGACATGGGAAATTATTATAAATGACAAGCTTCTAAGAAATGTCAAATGTTAAAATGTTTTAAAAACCCAGCATTAAAAAATGTGTATTATGAATTATTTTAGTTGAATGAGTTAGTGATAGATGGGATGAAACGGATGTTGTTTTGTGTTTTGCAGAAAATAGCTTACTGCATCACTCCAGAGCATGAACATCACAAGGTGGCTGAAGGAAACGTGCGTCAGTTTAGAGTAAGTCAAACTTTTTAATGATTTTGTCCATGTTTTACATGGGAAGTACTGTTAATATGACATTTAAAAATTGGCTTATGTAAACAGATGGAGCCATAAATAAACATTATAGGTTATAGTATAACAGTGCATGTATTTGTACTGAACAATCAAAGTATCACTGTCAAGGTCTGGTGCATTCTATTATAATAGAACTGTATTATAATTGAATACTCCATCTGTACTGTTCTCTAAGCTTTTTTATTGTTTTCTATTGTATGGGTGTACATATGGTTATGTTATGTTTTTAATCTTACTTTATTTGTGGGTGTACATGGGCTTATGTCTTATGTAATGTTCTCATTTTTACTTAATTTTTATTTTATTTTTACTTTATTTTACTTTATTACTATTTGCACCTTATGTCGAAGCAAATTCCTAGTTTGTGAACCTCGTTCATTGACATGGCGATAATAAACTGATTCTGATTCTGATTCTGCATTCAATGAGACAAATAATATCATAATGACCAAAGGTGATCACTTCTCTCATCTAGAAGTTGGTGCAAGTTATATATTTTTAAAAACTGCCATGACATAAAAAAGGAGTTGAGAATAGTAAAGTGCTATAAGTTTTATCCCAAAGCAAAGCAAGAGTATTTAGTTAAAATAAGCTCACAGTCCCACATTTATGTTTCAAATCAGCTGTATGGAAAAGTTATTTCATGGTAGCAGTGGAAAATGTACAAGGGACCAGAGAAAT